ATTCAGTAAAACTGTGAAACACAGGAGCCAAGAGACACTGATGAGGGAGCAAATACCAGTGTGATGCAAAGGACACTGCCCTGAGAGAACATGAGCCAGATTTGAGACCTATCATTTTTTCCTCTTCAGCCCTTGTAGAACTAGAATATCTTGATCAACATGATCTCGTGGCCATAAGCACAAAACCACACATCTGTACAGGAGTTGATCACTCCCTAATCAAGCACAACTCAGCGACATGGTGCTTCTGCAAGCTGGTTGACCCCCACTTCCCAGCCTCTGCAGCTATCACCGTAACTACAACTCTTCACATCAGCTTCATTAGTACTAGAGCCTACTTCCTAGGCTCTACTTGGAGATAGTCACCCATGAAATAGAAAGTATTTAAGGAGAGCAGAAGAGTCAAACTGCCTCACCTTGCTTTTCTGAGTCTTGTTTCCTACTGTGAGCAGGACAAAGGAGGAAGGTTCTCGTTCCATCTTCTGTCATTTAATACAAGGAAAAAAAAGAAAGCAGGTTAAAAAAAAAAAAAAAGGAGAAACATTTTCTAGTTTACAGGAAGCAATATCACACCACTGCTCTTAAGTTGATGGAAAGCTACCAATAGTTGTCAAATGTGTGATATCTGAAGCATGCAGTACACAGGAGAGACTCCAGCCATACTTCCACCATCAAGAAAATACATTTAAGCCAAAGTTTTATGTATCTGGGTTTCAACAGGTGAGCAGTTAAAAATTTGTCAGAAGCTGGAAGGAAACAGAGAAGGGAGTTGAAGGCTTAGTGGGAAGTCTTCACCACTGCAGGATGAAACAGGACTCTCAGAACTGGCTTCCAAGGCTCAAGACTTGCTGTAAAGTCACAAGTCTTTGGCATCAAGAAACTCCTCCTTTCCCAAAGCAGTAATACTGAGCCTCCTGTCCCATGCTTCTCTGCACTAACGCTATGGTGGTTAAGGCTGAGGATCTGTCTTGGCACAGCACTGTATAGGAAGTAGATACAATGAAGTCCAGAACTAAAGGTTATCAAATGTGACACATCATCACATCATTATCACAATGCTGGTAACTCATATAAGTGTAAAGACTGCACTTAGGAGGGGAGCTACCAAAAAAGAATGGGAAGCTTTCTCCATTGCTCAGGGCTGTGGCTGCATGTAGCTTGTTCAAGAAAGAAGGAAGGCATTCTTCCCTATACACACCATTTACACCACTGTAGCAAGATGCAGTATTTGGGGGAAAAAGTAACCAGAGACAAAGACAGAGGAGGCATGAATAACAAAGGGGCTTCTAAATCCATCCAAAATTGAGGGGGAAGGAATCTGGCAGTCAGGTCCCCAACGGACAGGAAGGTTACCACAAACAAGCGTATTCCCCCCCCAAACGTGGGAGGTCAGGGTGGAACAGCTCAGTATGGAAAGAACCCCTGCAGCAGCAGAAAGGATAACATGATTTGATCTGATGTCTGGAGGCTCTCTGTCCAAAGGATGAAACAAAAATAAAAGACAACCCCACATCAATCAAATACTTCTGTGTCGAACTCCCCCTTACACCTCCTGGACTTTCACTGGGGTTGGGTAGGCTTTCAATCATTATTTTGAACACCCAGGCACATAGATTCTGATGGTGGAGAGAATATTTCTTTTTAACTACAGCTAGTTTCAGTTGCTATGATACTGCATAATCCAGAATGTTGGTTAACAAGCATGGAAGAATATAAATTTTACCTTGAGGTACTTGTTATTTTTGATCTTCTTTGCTCCACATTCACCATTTGAATACTCAAAGTGGTTTTTCTGAATTAGTAAAAAGAGTATTTAAAAGCAATTAATTTGTGGACTTTAAAAAAAGGTTAGGAGTGAAGGCTGTCTGCATGTGGTTTGTGTACTTACTGGGAGGTTGAAGGCACTGTCCAAGTAGACTACCAGAAGAGCTGTAGACAGACCCTTCTTATCCTGCGAAGGCCAGGAGAACCAAAACAAAACACAAGGTAGACATGACCATCCATCTAGGACAAGGTAAAGTGCAACACAAACTCAAAGGACACTTTGTGAAAGCTAATCAGCTCTTCACCTTTCCCCTAAAACTTGTGATTTAGAGGAGCACGAGCCAGTACAGCATGAAAGTTTTAAGCAGATCAGTAAGAAGAGGTGTCAGTCTTTACAATCCACTGGCTTTAATGCTCTTCAGCCTTTCTAGTGCAGAACTGGTTGGATTCCCGAGTGCAGCAAGACACCTAAAAACATGCTCAACCACATACATCAATATCAACAATGCGGTGTCAGCAGAACAAAGCCTGGAAACAAATTCTGTTCACTTCAGTGGAACTCAAATACTTTTGCTCAGTTATGAAGAACAACATCCTTGGGAGATGGGCTTTATTCAAATAATTCTGCTGGACAAGTAAGATACCATTTGGAATCCTGGTCCTAACAAGCAGCAGTGTCTACTTGTCTACGATTAGTACAGGGGTTGTAGGATAGGGGTCCTACACAGAACCTAGATGAAGATGGAAGGGAAAAAATTATCAAAGAAGGGAACTGTGAGAGGCCACTCTGCAGCAAGCCAAACAAAGCTTTGCTAATTCAAGTGAAACTAGCTGCCAGGTACTCCTGAACTACCAAGGCACCTGAGGCAAGCAAATGCACTTCCTCTTTGGGAGGAGAACTCACACCAAAACTCTGTCAGAAAGAAAATAAACTCCCATGAGTTTGCCTGGAGTTCCTAATTTTACAAACTCCTTTGCTGATCACTGGACAGAGATCAGAGTATTTGAATCCTTTAAGCAAAGACACTTACCTCATGTAGTTTTTCTTGGTCATTTATTAACGAAAGCCACTCCAGCTTTAAATGCAAGTGTCCACTTGTTGTCTTACTCAAGGGAAACCACTAAATGGAGACAACAAAGAGCAACTAAAGAACTGTAAGGCAGAGTAATTTTTATATAAATGTTGCAACCTCTGAGACTTATGAACAATACACAGTGCAAATTGTACTTTGAGCACCTTAGCTTGCATTTTTGACAGATTGTAGCATGTCCACCTACTTAGAAACACAAGCCAGAAGAAACTGAAAATAAGATACCCACATAAATGCAAAGCAAGTGTGTATTTCCAACTACCAGCAGCACAAGACAGGCACCCTGGCATTGTTTGCAGAGTCTGGGTAGCAGGATGAACTGCAATAAGATCAGATCATGTTTTCCCCCAGCAATCAGACTGCTTCACCAAACTTTATCTGTAGCCTTGTTCAAAACATTTCGCACATACAGGACATGAGATACCAAGACAAGACACCCCACTGCTGGCTCAGCATAACCTCAGCGCTGTCTGTGGCTGCCAGCTGGATTGTAAAAAAATATTTTAACAGGTATTTCCAAATTTTCTGAGTAAATACTTTTTTTTTGGTGAAAATACCACAGTGCAAGCATGCAAGGAATCTTTAAGCACATAGAAACAAGGTAGTAGCAGAGGGAGAGCACAAACGAACACATGTAAGGATACACCACCAACCGCATTTAGAAGTAAACTGCCATCTTTACCTCATCAACAGTTCTGTCATTCATTACATCCACTAGGCTTATAAGCAAGCTGAAAGCCAAAAAACAAACATTTCAGTGTATATGTAAGCATATAACAGATACTGCTGTTGGGGGAAGACACCACCACCAGAAAAGCTCACATGCAAATCTATTCCAAATAACTTCTCCACATTACCTGTGTGTGCGTGTGCACTGGAGCACACTTGCACTTCAGAAGTCTCCCCCTTGAAATACTTCCAAAACTAAAATAACTTTGAAGTATATTTCAAGCCATGTAGTAACTATCACTTCTAATGGCTTCCTAGGATTCCCTGCAGGAGTCTGGGACCGTTCTCCAGCTTTTTCAAAGTTAGCTGCACTAGAAACTAATAAGTTGGTATCGATACCTGGACAAAGGGAATAGCTTCCTTCAGTATTAAATTTCTGTTATGAATAATCTTGGTGTCCTGCTGCAGAGGTTACTGGACCCTAAGCAAGGGTCATGGCAATTTACCTGCCCATAAAGTCATCTTTATCTGGATCTTCATCGTACAAGTCCACTTCTAAGTCCTGACCAGGCACTTCATGAACAACAAACTGGAGGAGAAAGAGGTACTGATTAGAAATAAAAAGCATTCACAGTTCATGTAGGTTCAGGCTATGGACAAGAACGTGACACTCAACAGCTGTATAACACATTAAGGACGTTCCCTGCTCTTTCAAGGCTAATTTCGTTAACAAATACAACTGATTATAGGTGATAATATTTCAAAACCAGTTTGCTTATTTTTGGACTACAAGTTAAAACCCTCAAACTGATATTCCTAATAATTGGAGAATAATCAATGCTAGAGCAGACTGCAGCTGCACAGACTGCCGCACTGATTGATATTTAAAGCAGAGCTTTGCACCTCCTCCAAAAACCCACGTATGTAAAGCAGATCAACCTGAATGACATTTCAAGTTTGCAATGTAAATCTGAACTTGTCTAAGGGACAGAAATGCCTCAGTCAAGTAACAAGGAAGTCCACTTGCTCCAGCGCAGTCAGCTAAGAGAAGGTCCTCCAAGCACAGGGATGCAAATGGCTGTGCAGCCTACAGATGGCAAGATCAAAAGACTCAGTACCTCAAAAGTCTCATTCCAGATAGGATTAAGATCTCTAGAAACTGTCTTGCTGCGATGCTGCACCGTGCCGACGCGGAGCAGAGCGTAGGGGTCAGACTTCCCCCTGATGGCACCAAGGAAACTGTCTTTCTGCACTAGATTCTCAGCTTCTAGTAGATGAACCCTTATTACTCCCTGAATAAAATAAGATAAAAAAATTGGCCATGAAAATGCAATCTTCAGATAATTATAACATGCTATCTCCTAAAACTAGTTATTCCAGGCAGCAAGGGTAGCTACCACTGCAGTTTTGCAAAGACATGTATTTTGATGCAATATATTTCCAATGACAGTTGTATTAAAACACTTTTTCCACCATTTACCTGGGGCGGGGGGGGGAAACCCTAAAACAGATACACAATCTGATCTAGGCAATTGAATAGGAAATATTCCTCAATTTATTGTTGAATCAGAAACATACACTATGCACACAGGACTACAGCCACAGTCATATCAAGTGTGGAGAAAGATCAATTCCCATTGATGTAAGGAGGAACTATGCACCCATTGGCAGGCTCTTATTTTATTGCAGTGGCCATTCAACTTCCATCTGGTGGTGCAAATTTGCAACAGGTAGCACCCCTTTCTTATACATTTTATATTTATCCTCATTAATGAGTGTATTAGCTATTTAATGGATGAAGGAGACTGATGATCTGGGTATGTCAAGCTCTTAGGAGTTTAGTTTTGGGCTTTTTTTCCTGAACATTTTTCTGTAACAAAGAGTGCAAATAGGGAGCCTAGAGGGTGACATCTTTCTCACAGCATTAATACAAAAAATTAAGTAGGCTGACACTCTGCTCGTGTGTGCACCTTCTCTAACTGAGGATCTCTGGTATTCTCAAATGAATGAAACAAATTGGTAAATGAGCTCAGTGTCTAAACTGACTCTTATGCCATGTAGGACCCTACAGACTAGCGTCCCCCACTTCCCCTCAGTTATGAGCTATCCAACATCTGCTTTTATATTTCTGCACTGTTACCTACAGAAAGCCTAGAACACAACTTGAAAGAGCTGATGCAAGAGCATAAGGCACTAAGCTTGCATGCAGCCACATCATGGCAAACGCACACTTAGGTAGGTGAACATCCCCACTGAAAAGAACAACTCACGTGTGGGATAGGGAACCTCAAGTGGGCAATGTTCATGTTCTTTTTCAGAGGCACTGTGATCCTGTTTGGCAGAACCAGCCGTGCAGCAATGAAGTCTTGGATTAGTGAGTCTGACATTACACTGCAGGTGGGGGAAAAAAAAAGGCAACCTAAATCTCTACAATTGATCACAGTTTCAGTTAGAAAGAAAGAATGAGGCACAGGAAGAGAAATGGGCATGGTGAAATAAGTGATACAGCCTACCTCGCCCCAAGGAGTTATCAAGCCCTGAACAGGCTGCCCAGGGAAGTGGTGGAGACACCATCTCTGGAGGCATTTAAAAGATGGGTGGATGTGGCACTTAGAGACATGGTTTAGTGGCGGACTTAGCAGTGCTGGGTTCATAGTTGGACTTGTCCCTAAGGGTCTTTTCCAACATAAATGATTCTATGAAAGTCTGCCTATGTACAAACTGCACACTGGCAGAAGAAACTCCTGGTTGTGACATCTGGCTTAGAATAAGAGGAAATGGAGAGGACAGTTTGACTCCAGAACCAATAACCAAGGGTGGGTGTGCGTCACTGTGGAAGGTTAGGCTCTCTCCTATCAATAACTTTCAACCAGTTGAGCCGCTGAAGAGTATGAGCATGGAGCAGCCTCTCAAGATCTCTTTCAATCTTATTCCCTATTGTTCTGCATGCAATCACCATAGCTTTGTGGCACACATTGTGCAGTAGTCACTTGCACACAGGGATGTTCCCATCTAGGGTTACCAGGGCTGGATGTGAATTTGGCTCTAGCACTTTGTGGATGATGAATGGGAGCTTAGGCCATACGACGAGGTTGTCATGCACCCAAACAAGTTATACAAACTCTTGTGCCTTCTGGGTTTCCTTGGGAATGCTGACACCACAGTTGCACAAGGTGAAGATGGAATTGGGAACTTTCATCATTTCACAAGAGGCTTAAGACCTTGAGGTAGTTTGTTTTGAGACTTAGAACATGGCCTCAGCATATACTGCTGTCTGCTCTTGGCCACATGCCAAGACCTTACTGTAAAATGGAAGGAGAAGCCACCCACATTCAAAGCAACATGAGTTTGCCACCTTACCAAGCAAAAGATGAGATTCTGTACCCTGGTATATTTTGCACTAAGAAGGAAAACCCTGTTTGAAGTAACTGGACCTTTGGCACCTTTTGGAGATCACACTGCCTGAACTGAGGGTATTGTCTGCCTTGGGAATTTAGGTAACTTTCCAGTCTAATTAAAATTTACACATTTTTAGATTTTCAGTCTTATCTTTTATTTACAATGTCTCTGTTTGTATGGTGGGGATAACACATTTGACCTATTTCTGCTGGGCAAGAAGTACATGGCTATCACAGACATCCAGTACTTGCCAGGTGATCAGTGGGAGGATTTCAATGTACTACTACAGCTTGGCATGAGCAGAAGACAATATTCAGAGGAAAACCCAAGAGCACCAGACATATGAAAGACTTCAATCCCCTTGGTAAGTCTAGTGCTCATAAGGCAGCTTTTCAGGGTAAGACTGTGCAACAAAATTGTCACAGTTCACAGATGAGACTGGATTTGCATAGAAGGAAAGTCCTCTCCTACTCCAATTGTAAAACCAAAAGCCTGAAAGTCCTTGGTCAGGCTGTTGGCTTTCCTGTCAAAAAATAAAAACCCACAGGAAGGTCACAGAATTGTCCCTCTCTCGAGTCTCAGGGTACACCCAACTAAATACAGCTTCTACATGACGACAGACGACTGCATCCAGTTTCTTTACTCGAGATCTTAAGTAAGCCCAATTCATTTGAAAGGGATAGCTCTTGTTCAACCTGTACTTCAGCCTACTCGTGGTCACGCATGTTTTGCTTCCTACTTTCATGTGCGGCACTGAAGAACAAGCAAGGGTTACTGTGTTCAAATCCTTGAGAGAGAACCATGGAGTGAAAATTTAGGACATCAAATTTGCACTTAATTACATGAGAGGCTGTAGGTTGGAAAACACCTACATACCTTCTCCCTGCAAGGATTGAGGAAACCATGTTAGAGAAGAACAGATTAATTGCTCTGATAAAAACTGGAACTCTCAGGCCAAAAGGCCACTCTGGCCTCAAATTAAAAGAAAAAGCTTCCTCTTACTCAACATCAAAGGTCTTCAGAGGCCCTTTAATGTCTAAACTGGCACCTAAAGTAGCCAGCCACTTCCTATGAGTCTGCAAACCATGAGCTGCAGGAGGAGAGAGGGGAACAGAATTATCTGCATTTGCACATAAAGGGAAAAAGGCAATGGCTGAGTAATCACATATATTTTGTTCTTGTGTAACAGAATTTTCTCCTTACAGTAAGAAACAAGGACTAAGTGAATCTCCAAACTGGAGAAGCAGTTTGAAACTTACAGTACTGAAAACCACTCAGATTTTCATCCTTGCTGTTCAAGTTTTATGTAAAAGATCAACCCAAGAGGCACTGGGGAAGAGCTACATTTTTTGAAGAATCTAAAGGGTGTGGAGAGCTTAGCCACAGAGTGGCTAACAGCAAAGGGACATGATAAAGTGCAGCTGGTTGAAGTTTAGTAAAACAAACTCCAGGTCAAGATAACCTGGGGTGCAACTATTGTAGGATCATGGGATGAGTAAAAGGAACTGGAACACTAAGATAAGGAACTGCTAACCGCAAGACTAAACACAAAAGATAAACATAAGAGGGGTTGACATGTAATCTGTAACCAATGGTGAGCTACGCTTTTGCAATATGGATGAACTAATTAAAGAACAGTATAAAGATGCCTTCTGATTTTTAATAAACGAGGCTTTCCGATCATCATAGGATGGTGTCTGTCTCCCGCTGATTTTCCAACAAAAAGGTCAGCAGATGACACAGAGAGAGGAGACTATTTCTCCTTATAAATCTGGTGCAGTTTTCTTTATCCTGGATTGTAGATCAGTTCATCAGAGGAGCTGCAACTCCTTGCCTTTTTCACTTCAAGGTAAGCAAACACTAGCACAGACTACCAGTCACGTAGATCTACCTTGTCTACCTTTGCATGTAACTGGCACATGGGAAATGTAAAGGCTTTGGTTTTAGTTTAGAGACTACTGTATTTGGGGGGATTTACTATTTCCATCCCAAATGCAATGAAGCAATGTTGACAGAATGCACAAAGCACCCTCCTCAGGTTTTGCAGACTGCACAGCCTGATGGCATGAGTATCAGAGTAACACCTTTCAAACACCACTCTCGAGAATTACTTTGCTGATTACTGGAGAAAGCCATCCCAACTTCCAAAGGCTTTTTAAAGAAGAATAAAGTGAAGCAAAATAGACACTCACTTAATCCCTGGGACATCTAGGAGGTTGCTCATACCCGCCCAGTTGATTTCCAAGTGCTACAAGAAGATCAGGGAGAAAAATTATACAGAACCATTAAATTTTATTTCAGAACTCTTAAATAAAGCCAGCTGTTTAAAGAAAGTAAAACCTGCACCAGCAAGTGACTGAACCTGTACATTAAAACCAACAGCTGACAACAATTCCCTTTTCTATTTCACTTGTCATACATGAAATGAGGGCATCACTGGGACTTGCCCTGTAAGCACAGGGAATGACAGCATTCAGCCCCTAGCACTGGTCACTGGCAGATGCCCTGGGGTCACGCTCAGTAAATTGACAGCTCTACATAGACTCTGAAGCTGTTTCCTCATCCTTTCACTTCTGGGTTGGCCCACGGCCTGAGGAAGGGGGTTTACAGTTACCACCCAACTTCTGGAGACTGTATTTCCATTCACAAAATAAACAAGATTTTTTCCTCCAAATGCTAAAATAATGCTACTACATCCAAACACAAAAACACCTCAGCAAAGATCAAAAACGTATGATGTCCATGAAGTCCAGCAGAGGATAACCCACAAGCAAGCAAAGCCATGTGCTACAAGATAACAGGTTCTTACAAGACTAGAAGGTTTCTCACATTTTATTAAACTACAATTCAACTACAAGGCACATGACCTTAAACAGGCAAGCTTTCAAGGCACGACCACGACTAAAAGGTCTCCAAGATGACTGCATTTAAAAACTGTGGATGGGAAGATTTTAAATCCAGCTCCCAGGAATTTGGCAGCAAAGGCCTAGGAAATGGCTCCTGTGCTGTCACCATCGGGAAGTCCTCCCATTTTTAAAGTGAAGCAAGTAGAGTTTCCTATATAGTATAATACATATTTTCTGCAAAAGAATAGGGCAAATTCATTCCTGTCTTCTTGGAGTTCAAGAGAAACACTGAACAATCAGGAATTTGCTATTCAAACCCCTGCCCTGGGAGGCATTCACAGTCATCCAGTTTGTGTCACTCACTGAAGACCCATCAGGCACTAAGACAGACCAAGAAGCAGGAAGGCTGCAGAGTGCAGCTCATGACTGACTTACTGGTTTCTGCATGAAAAACAAGGTCACTGCTCCAATGAAAGGTGCATCAGTTAGAAGAGGTTCCAGTATCACCCTCAGTGTCCCATACAACTGTGAACAGAACAGACCAAGGAAAACTGAGTCAGAAGGTACTCTCAGGATGCAATTTTAAAACTGTGAGCTTTCCAGTGATGGAGATAATTTTCAAAAATCCCACTTTCAGCAATTTTATTTAGAATTTAACAACCATAGCTTCCTCCTCCTTCAAACCGTTGCTATTGATACCAGGCAATGCTTTCTAAGTTTGTAGAGTCTCTCTGCAATCCTGACTGCCACACACTGGAGTGATCTGTCTATTAGCTTTCAACACTGTCAGAACAGGTTGTTGAACAGGCTGTTGGTCTAATCCAGACCAGTTTATGCATACTCCAGCAGAACTGGCTCTTGAAGTTCTTTACCAAAATGCAGCTCCTCTGAACTCTGGTGGCAGAAAGCTGGCCCACATGAGCTCAGTGCTGTAAGCACTGACCCTGTTTAAAAGTCACACTAAAAAGTTTAAAAGTGGTATTTAGGTGTTTTCCATGGAAGGCATCATTTCCCCAGCCAAAACACAAGAAGATAAAGCAAATCATTCTGTGCCTCCTAGTTGTTGGTTTCCTGGTTGTGTCATGACCTTCCCACTGGGACATGCCACCTCCTGCCACACACAGCCTTGAGCAGACAACGCTAGCACTGCTTCACCCACCTGTATGCCTTTCACTCCAAGATTAAACTTCGATATGTCCATGTGGATCTCACAGTCCCCTATGTAACTGAAAGAAAATTCTCAGGTTACTCCACAGTTTGCACTAGTCCAATGAGAAATTTTGGGCTGTACAGAGTATAAAGGAAATTGGTTTCATGACCAACATAATGCCACAGACAGACGTAAATTTTCAAGCAGCTGAAAAAGGAAAGTTGAGTACACTGAACAAGGGTCAGAGCTTCATGAGAGAAACCCTGCAGTCGGCTGGGATACTGTTCTACCTGCAAAATGTCAAAGTAACATCTGTATTTCAAGGTTGTTTTCCATTCTAAGACTGACAGTTGGCTGAGGCAAATTTGCTCCAAGGAGATCAACAAGGTCATTCAAATTCACAGCAATTGCCCTCTTGCTCTGCCAAAGGCCTGATCCCACCCTGCAACTTGTTGACTCAGCTCCCAGGCTGGTGCAGAGCCATCCTGCCATTACATATGGTGTCCTTGCCTTCCCCACAACCCAGAAGTCCACTTGAAGGATTAATTCATCAGTAAAAATAACCTGGTTTCCTTGAGGACGAACTAACAGAAAATGACTCATATCAGATTTTGGTCAGTTGCCATGGAGAACATCAGGCTTTAAATAAAATGAATGCTGAGCACAGCATTTGCCATTTGGAAATGACCTTAGACCTAAATCCAAACATCACCTTATGCCTAAACAGATAGCCACTCCCCACGGAGCAAAACCTTCCAAATTTGTTGATGCCTCTGGCAAAAAACAATTGAAGGGAGCTACCAAGTTCCCTTTCAGTGCTCTGAGAAGTAGTTCCTTCCAGATGCAGACACAAACACCCTGCAGGAAAAGCAAGGTGTAAAGGCACAACAGCAGGGTGAATGTGCTGTGCTTCTTGCCTGCGTGCATAATTGCATCCCATAATCAGAGAAAAAGGACAAGATTTTTGCTCTGACTACATGTATACGGGCAAATAGTGCTGCAGTTGCCACTAATTCACACTAATTTGCACACACTCATTCCCTACCCCCAAAATACCTCCCATGAATGCATAACCCTGTGAATTTGTCTCCATTTTTGCAAGCAAAGTTCTCTAATATCTGTTTACAGATAGTCACTTAGCAGAATCTTAAAAGCTCCTAACAAATTAAAGCCTTTAATGTTAGAGCATTCTCATTTCTTAAATAACCACCCTCACAGGCCATGCCAAAATTAACACAGTCTTCCTTATAAGCTAGTCACATAATTAAACAAACTTATTTTTCTGTTTATTAATTTCTACAATTTTGCCATTATCTTACAAATCATTACACCAGGTACTATTAGAGCTTTAGCACAACAGAAGTCTAAATGAGAAGCCAAAATGAGTTCCTCAATTTGCAGTAATTAATCCAAGAGGATTTAATTCAGCTGTTGCCAGCATCCAAAAGAGCAAATAATAGTTGTGGTGTTTCAATTTACAACCTTTATGTTTTCCACACAGCCAGAAACTCTTCCCACCCAGTTCTACATGTCTCTTTTCTCCAGTAACACTTCACTACATACGTTTTAAAGTCTAGATATCAAAGGGGTCTTTACCCCTTTCCTCAGTACTATAAGCTGTGACAAAATTTACCCAACTTGAATTACAGCAATTGAGTGCATCATCTCAGGGACTGAGCAAAAGATTCTGAAAGAAGATTTATGTAATTTGTGATACCACATTTCAGATTTAACATGGAGAAAAGGAAGCTCTTCTTCACATGACACAGACCTCAACCACAGCGTTCAGTGCCACAACATGTTATGGAGATCAGGAACACAGATTAAACAAAACACTTGATGGACCCTATGTCTACTAAAACTACAAAAATGATTCATACATTCATAGAATGGTTTGGGTTGGAAGGGACCTTAAAGATCATCTAGTTCCAACTCCCCTGCCATGGGCAGGGACACCTCTCACTAGACCAGGTTGCACAAGGCCCCACCCAACCTGCTCTTGAACACCTCCAGCAATAGAGCATCCAAAGCTTCCCTGGGCATCCTGTGCCAGTGTCTCACCACCCTCATGGTGGAAAACTTCTAATTTCTCACCTAAATCTACCATCTTGCAGTTTGAACCCCTTACTCCTCCTTCTATCACTACAAGCCCTTCTAAAAAGTCCTTCACCAGCTTTCTTGTAGGCCTGCTTCAGATACTGGAGGGCTGCAACAAAGTGTCCCCAGAACCTTCTCTTCTCTAGGCTCCCCAGTTCTCTGAGTCTGTTCTTGTAGGAGAGGTGTCCCAGCCCTGATCATCTTCATGGCTCTCCACTGGACCTGCTCCAACAGGTCCACATCCTTCTTGTTTGAGTAACAAGACCATACAGACCACAAAGGCAAGCTAAGAAGGAAAGTTCTTTTTCTACTCCTGTCCTTCTCCTGTGGTTTTCCCTGGCCAAGTCAAAGACTCTGGGCTTCAGAGTCTAGCTACCTCCTCGATAAAACAGCAGGAAAAAAAATCTCTCAACTTGCACTGCTGTGAGACTGGAAACAAGGAGCACCTTACAGAGCATGCCGAGATCTCCGAGTGCAAGCCTAAGACACAGGGTAACAGCCCTGGAGCAGGGCAGGGCTGCTGCCAGGCAGGAGTGCTGTCCACCAGCATAACGGCAGCCTGTGAGAAGTGGCTGCTCAGCCCTCCCCACTGCAGCCACCCTGGTCAGCACTGCATGAGCCAGGCAAGAGGCCACGCTCCTGTGGGCTCTCCAGCGAGGGAACCCCTGCAAAATTACAGCTGGCAAGCACCAAGGCAGAGGAGTCATGTTTGTAACATGCAGACACGTTAATCCTTTAATGTTCACTGCAACATAGCTACACTTCTCCACAACCTAACCCAAGAGGGGGAAGTCAGTCGCTGCGGTCTCAGCATTGCAAAGGGTGCCACACTGGCACCCACAGCACCACTCTTCTCCAGGGCTGTGATGCCAGGACGCAGCTCTGTGGACAGATCCAGCCCCTTAAATCTCAGCAGCATGCAGCGACTGAGAGATGGTACAAAGGGCAGCAGCCTCATGCTGGTGCAGCTCAGATCCACCTCTTCTGAGCAGCTCTCCTCCCAACACCAGCTGCACCAGTGCAGACACTCACTGCTGGTCAGGTAGGTAAGAGAGCCTGTTTTGTAATGGGGGCTTGCCTCACTCCAGAAAAGTGGAGACTGTCCATTTCTTTGATTAAATTAAAAACAAACAAACACCCACCCACCACGTCCCTTTGACAACCCAGAAAAAGGCAGGTAAATAACACCACTGCTCACAGCAAGATTTGATTGTCCCCACTCCTGGAAGTAATATCCTACACCTCCTGTGGACAGTGTACAATGCACAACAGCCAGCTTCGTTCCAGAAAATTATGTTAATGTATTGGCAAAAGAGAAGCTGGGTCCTTCACACAGCCCTGGAGAAGAGCCCTCCACCAAAGAGACAAGGTAGTCTGGAAACTCCTGTGTCAATACAGAAAATACTTGGGTTATCAGATGACAGTTCAGGTTGTTATTGTCAGGATGAGGAACAGAAGTGTTTGGCCAGTTTGGTGATGCTGATGGGTCTGCCAGAGGGATGGGAATGAGGAGGTGGGGAAATCCCTCTGCAGAGGCCTGTTACAAGACAGCAGAATGAGTATGTGAGAGAAGCAGCTTGGAGAAGTAGTTTAAGAGAGAACAGCAGCAACCTTTCCCAGAGCCTTAAAGGCATCAGATCCCTCGATCTCAACATGGAAAGCACAGATGATTTGCCAAAGGCCCTAAAACTGGTCTAGCTATTACAAAGAGCACTTCACTGACAGCACTGCAACACAACATGTTCTGGCTGAAAACCAAGCATGTTGTTTTGCAGGGAGCAATGGTGCTCTGCCAGGGCTGGGGATGCTGCCATGCCATTGCCACATGAAGCACCAGGCACAGTTCTGAGCAGCTCTGTGCTGTTGCCAAGACACTCCATAATTCCATACTGCTATTTCCTGGCACTACCATGAAGAAGAACCATTTAAATTAAGCAGCTCAATCACCCACTAAACTACAGCAGTGTAGAACTGGTACTTTCCCAAATAATTCCATTCTCCAGGCTAAACCAGAAGAAAGTTTAGCTCTGCAGTGGCTCTGATGTTTACAAAACACACAAGCTCATTCAAAACAGCCTGGGAGGTATCAAATGTTTTTTCTAATTTTGTAGTTGTTGTTAATAGAGCTAGAGGCAGTTTTCTGCTGAAAGAACAGCTGTAATAAAAAAAAAGCAAATGTGTCGGGTGGCATATGGAACAAATGGCAAGTAAAACAAGAGCATTAATCTAGAGGAAGGAATTAAAAAATAAATAGCACAAGTAGTCCTGGAAGAACTGGAGAGGTTGGACTGAAGAGGAATCACAGTGTGGAAAGACAGACCAAGCGTCTCCATGCTCAAGAGCTGTTGGAGCTGTCAGAAAAGGAAATATAGTTCCAGCACTCAGGTTCTTACTGACATGAATGGCAATGCTGAGGGCCACATCCACCTACCCACAGCAGCAGGGATGGGCGACCGTGGCAGGCAGAGCAGGTAACACCTAGATCTGTGTAGGTGACACTGCTTTCTGACTTAAAAGCTGATGCCCAGCACCTCACTTCTGTAAGTATTGAGGTCAGGAAGCTGGCAGACAGATTATCTCCAATCATTCTAGGCTGACAGAAGATAAGGACCTCTCCACACTTCATGCTGATGTTAGTGGCCGACATGTCTAGTCCAGCATGACAACTCACACACAGGTGTCAAATGGGGAGTAAACATCTACATAATCAGTGATGCAATGTTACCATATCTGGAGGTCCAGGACAACCTGTCTTCTATCGATTTCTTTGGTGTAGGCTTTTATTCCATTGATTCTAGGGCACTGAGATAAAGGCAAACAAGATATGACATAGTTAAATCCTTCAAGTTAAGCCAAACTGAACAGTCCTATTCACTTCAATCAATTTGAGTACAGAAGCATTTATTAAAGACTTTGCACAACTGCCTTTAAAACTAAACAAGTTCTTCCCTTGAAGAGGTAGCATGAACAGCCCTGCAGTTCTCAAATATAGGTCTGGTTGCAAGCAGCCCATGCTACAAGCCCTCGGAAGAGCTGTCACTTGTGGCCCTGTTACAATGGTGTAACAGAGACAGAGGTGGCTGTGTGCCCCGTTTTCTCTCTCCAGTCCCATGCTACCAACAGCCAGTGGGAAGGGATGCGAGTGCCTCCTATATGATCCCTCCTTCACAGTGAAGGTGTTCAAGTCAGCGTGAGGAGGGAACAAAGGAGGCAGCAGTGCTGTACCAATACCAGCTTGTTAAACACCCAGAGGCATTAAGGAGCTGAACATCAGACTCCTCTTACATCTGAACTTTTAGAAAAGACTGAACTGGAAGCGTCACCAAGAACTCAGACTACCTTCTCGCCAAAGTGGATCTTGGTAAAGGTGCATGTTTTCAGATGTACATTCTTTGCTCTGATTTTTGGTTCAAGAACTTCTTTAAATGTTTTTTCCATGATTGTCTCAAAGTATGGCCAAGCCTGTACAAGGACCTAAAGAATACCAAAAATAGAAAAATGCTGAAGATTCTCTATACAAGAGACCTTTACGTTGAGAAACACACACATTACACAGCACCTGCCTATTAATCTGCCCTTTCAAAGTACCAAGTCACATTTGTGCTCTTAAGTCATCCTTATGGAAGGATCCATCTCAGTTCCTCAGAAAAGGAATTTGTTTTACAAACTGAAGGGTGAGTTATGAGCACCATGGAGTCTATTGACTGCTTCTAACCACAGAGACTGAGCCAGCAAAACCCAGGTTTAAAGTCTCTAAATCACAATAGTCTGTAATTACTCTAAAGTGTCATGAAGTCAGGTTTATTTAGAGAGAGTGAGATGAGCTTTCACATCAAGAAGAAAGTTTGCTTAAGAAAAGAAGCAAACAAACAAAACCAGGATAGTTACTGGATGTTAATTTGCAAGTTCAACTGTTTGAATTCCACAAAGTCCAGATCCAGTAAGAGCTTGACTACATCTCCTGGTGCGAGCACCTATCTCAGAGCTCTCTCGGAACCTCTCTGGCAAGAGGAAATGCTACTATTTTTGATAAAATAATAATAATACATACATATACATCTGTATATATATATAAACACACATATACACACACTCTTTTGGTTTTTTTGGGGTTTTTTTTGGGTGTTTTTGTTTGCTTGTTTGTTTTTTTAATCTCAGAATTAAAGTGTTGTGGCCAAATCCATCAAACCTGTATCAACCATGCACACATTTGGCTCTCACCAAAACCTCAGTGGCAACTCTACACTTAATTGGCTCCACGAGTTATGTGCAGACACTGGTATGACCAAGCTGTATCATAGTGACTTGGTAACTTTCTCAGGCTTTGCCTGCAGAGTTTGTGCCATGGTGCAGCTCAGAGCAGACAGCCTCACAAACTGAAGTTCAGAGCTCCTCACCTTGTTCAGCCACTCCACTCGTTCAACATCAGGGAAGTGAACCTGGGTGCAAAGAAAAATAAAGTGAGTGCCACAACCCACCTGTTTTGGCATACTGCAACACACGCAACAGATACCACGGAGCGTGGAACAAGTTCTAGAGTTCCCTGCTGAGATCCTTCTGTCCTCACACATCCTTTATAATTTACTACCTCCTTGAAAACCTGTAAAAGGCAAATAAAATAGTAAAAAATAGTAAAAGGCAAAAGAACACACGTGCACTGATGCACCAGTAATGCCCATGGGCACTTTCATCTGATTAAAGCAAGTGTCATATCCTGTTCATGATGTAAAGCAGCATTAGATTTCTCATCCTTCTCTTGGTCATGCCTTGGGAAGCCACAAGAACCCGAGTCCCTTCAAGATCACGAGCTGAGCAGGACCTATTTCCTGTACTGGCTCACCTCAGCCTGAACACCACACTTAGGAAAACAAGAACCTGCTTGGGAAACTCCATTTATCGGTTGCAGCAGCATTTCTCCACTAATACCAACAGAGTGCAAATGGCTTCAGGGAACAGACGCACTCCAAGAGTTCAAGCTGGTTAGCACACGCTATCATGTGTAACAGTCCAAACTTCTCACCTCTCAGAGCTCTTTAAGATGCTAAGGACAAATTAAAATGGTCACTCACATGAAGCAGTTGAACTTAAGATCCTC